ATCCCCAGGCCCTCCCCCTCTCCCACTCCCCAGCCCTCACCCCCCCTCTGGAAAGGAACCGCGGGTGGGGTGCCGAGTCCTCCCTCGGAAGCTCAAGGAGACCAGGATGTTTACAAGGAAACTTAAGAGGAAATCGGGTTCCGCTTCTGTGATGTGCTGATTCCTTACCTCCTAGACGTCCTGAAATAGTCACAGGTGAAATAGTATGGTGTCTGGAATTTGCCTTAAAATATTGGGGGTTTGGGTGGGACGGTGGGGCTGTAAATGAAACAAGATTAGTGAGAGGTGATCATTTTTGAAGTTGGTTACGATAATAATATGGGGACATGATTCAGTCACATATATACATACATACATACATATGTACATACACACGTACACACACGTGCATGCATACACATGTATATACACATATACATACACACGTATATACATACACATATATAGGCACACACGTTTTCTGCACCTCCTCACATACATCATGTATATGATGTATATCACACACACATGCTGGCCCAGATTCATCCTTTTTAAAAAATATGTTTTGCCCGGCTGGGCGTGGCTCAGCGGTTGAGCGTCGACCTAGGATCCAGGCGATCGGGTTCGATTCATAGTCGGGGCACATGCCCGGGTTGTGGGCTCGATCCCCAGTTGGAGGCAGGCAGGGAGCAGCCGATCAATGACTCTCATCATTGATGTTTCTATCTCTCTCCCCCTCTCCCTTCCTCTCTCTGAAATGAATAAAGACATATTTTAAAATAAATAAATAAATAAAAATAAAAAATATGTTTTTATTGAGAGAGAGGAAGGGCAGGATAGAAACATCGGTGAGAGAGACATCAATTGGCTGCCTCCTGCACACCCCTTACTGGGGAACCGGCTGCAACCCGGCATGTGCCCCGACTGGGAATCCTACCAGTTACCTCTTGGTTCATGGGTCAAGGCTCAACCACTGAGCCACACCAGCTGGGCCTAGAATCTTCCTTTCAACAAAACTCCCGCTTTGCATGCACACCAAGCTGAGGAGCAGGACTGCAGTCCCTACGGGACCCTTTCATCAATACTGATTCTCTTGGCCGGACTTGCCTTCTGTATAATGGACCGCAGTGATTTTGAAATGCCACTCCCTGGCAGTGATTTAAAATGCACCTAATTGGCAGGGACAGCCAAGTGCCCGAGTGCAGGAGTGTCTTCCTTACAGTTGGCTGCGCTGAGACCCTATTGCATCATCTTATAAAAATTGAGTGGCCTCAAGAGCAGGCCGCCCACTTTCAGCACAGCCCTTGGGAACCGAAGGGTCAACACCACTCTTCTTTGGGTCACAGATGTGCCTGCTTGGGAGCTTGCTCGCTATGGTAAATTTGAAATGAGTCCTGGGTGAGCCGCCTGGACAGGGTCCCAAGAGACAGTGGAATGTTCTGGAACGAAGGGGGGTCAGAAAGATCTCTGCCAAGACTGCATTGGTGAGAGTTCGATTACAGACCATACAGTCTCCTTTAGTAAGCTTATGAATTATTACCGAGGGCATTAGGCAGTGCGCTGAATCACCCACCAGTGTTACCAGCCATGTCGGCTCTCGGTTCTTGAGTTTGGCAAAGAAAGAATTCAGAGCCAGGAACTCTCGCACGAGAGGAAGTTTATTTAGCCAGCGACGCGAAAGCACAGGGGGAAGCAGGCTGCCCGGAGAGCTGCCTTGGCCTTTTAGGAAGAAAGTCACGGAGGCAGGAGAGCTGAGCCAACTGGTCGGGAGCACAGCGGAGCACTGCTGCTCCCCCTGGGCTGAGTCTCGGGTACGTGGAGGTGTAGTTTCAGGCTTTATTTGCAAGGGGAATCTAGACAGTTGACGTGAGTGTCCCCCAGGGCTTCAGTAAAAAAGGCCGATTCTCAGGTACTATGATTCTGGCGTGAGCTGCGTGGTGAAAACCGCACCGGCCTGCGCCCTGGTTAGATTGCAAATCAGCGGACAGTTACTGCTCCCAGGAAAAGGCAGAGAGGGAGGCAAGAGCTTTCTTACGGGTGCAGAGGGCTTAGCAGCAGCAGTGACAACTACCGAAGCGTCTAGAAACTGCGGTGCCTGCTGCGGGTCAGGTGTTCCTCTCATTACGTCATTTTGGTTTTCCGTCAAGGCGGGGAGGCTGTTCCTAATTCGACGTGGTCCTGGTTGGAAGTCCCTGGTCCAGACACAGGGCGGGGGCTCCCCCTTCTCCCTGCCCATCTGTCCTGGGCTCTGTTTATTCTAGGGGTGGCCAGGACCCGGGCCCCAGGACCCGCCGCCCTTCCCGTTATGGGGCCTCTGTGATGAAGGGGCCTCCTTCCCTGGTGTGGAACAAACGCTGACCCCTGACGGGCCAAGGACAGGAGCTGCCTGCCCGGGGCCAGCGGCTGAGGCCGGGCTGCAGGGCAAGGATTTTCACCTGCTACCAGCCTCTCCCTGCCCTGGCTGCTTTGTGTGAGCCGGGATGTGCCTCATGTGGGGAGTGGGACTCGGGTGTCACGCAGCCTCTGTGGCCCCCCCGGCATTGGCCCTTGCAGGCTGCATGGTCTTGGGCAAGCCCTTACCTTCCCCAGGCCTGTTTCTACTGTTTAAAACGGAGATAATCACACCCACCCCGTTAAGTTACTGAGAGGCACACGATGGGTGCTCAGTATATGCCACTTCCCTACCAGGTACAGATTTGTGGGCACTGGCTTTGCTCCTGAAGCTGTGGGGGTGGGTTCCTCCAGGAGGTGCCAGGCACGGGCCCTGCGGGAAGGTGTCCCAGCTCCCACAGCCCAGCTGGGACACCCCAGTGGCCTGCGGTGGGTCGGCTCGTCTGTATCCTCAGAGGGTGAGGAGAGCCAGGTGGGGGTCTGCAGTGCACACCCCTGGGATAGCTCTTCACGTGGAAGGACCCTTCAGGACGGTGACAGGGCCCTGGGGCCAGGTCAGCTGCAGAGTCCCCCCCCCCCACCTGGTGCAGGCTGGAGCCCTCCTCCTAGACCGGCAGCAGCTCCTTCTCCAGCTTCTTCTTCCGAACTCCTTCCACAAAGAAGAGGTCCAGGCGGGCGAGGGTCTTCCCCAGAGGCGTGTCCACCCGGCTGCCCACCGCCCGGTTGGTGGAAATCGGGACAGCGTTGGAAAAGAGAGGCACGTGCTCCGGCAGCTTTGAGGGCTCCTTCTTGTTGCCCTGAGGAGAGGGGACAGTCCTGTCACAAGGGGGCCACCTAAGACACTGCTTCCACATGGTGGCCGTGCCACTGTGTTTTGGGGTTTTGGTTTTTAAAGAAAGAGGCGTTTCCTCGGCGTTGTTGCGGCAGTGCGCACCATCTGACGTGGATCATCAGAGTGACGGCGATTACTGTTCACAAGTGCAAACACAGGAGCACCCGAGCCTCAAGCAGAACACTGAAAACCACTTTTCCAAGAAAAGTAAACAAAAAACCCACCCGTTTTTCCATTTAAACAGTGCCCGCTCTGAGCGGGAGAGCACGGAAAGACCAGTCTTTAATGCTCGCTGGAGCGCTGAGCTGGGCAGCCATGGGGGTTGGTCTTATTTTTTGGTGAATTTTTACTTGAAGTTTAACAAACACACAGAAGAGTATATAAATCATAAGTGTACAGCTCCCCGAACTTGCACAGGTGTGCAGGCCTGTTTTGCCCCACCCAGACCAGGAGGTAGGACCTCCAGATGCCTCCTCTAACCCCTGACCTCTGTCTCCACCCCCAGGCCACCTGGCCTCCAGGCTCCTCTAACCCCTCACCTCTGTCTCTACCCCCCAGGCCACCTGGCCTCCAGGCTCCTCTAACCCCTCACCTCTGTCTCCACCCCCAGGCCACCTGGCCTCCAGGCTCCTCTAACCCCTCACCTCTGTCTCCGCCCCCAGGCCACCTGGCCTCCAGGCTCCTCTAACCCCTCACCTCTGTCTCCGCCCCCAGGCCACCTGGCCTCCAGGCTCCTCTAACCCCTCACCTCTGTCTCCGCCCCCAGGCCACCTGGCCTCCAGGCTCCTCTAACCCCTCACCTCTGTCTCCGCCCCCAGGCCACCTGGCCTCCAGGCTCCTCTAACCCCTCACCTCTGTCTCCGCCCCCAGGCCACCTGGCCTCCAGGCTCCTCTAACCCCTCACCTCTGTCTCCGCCCCCAGGCCACCTGGCCTCCAGGCTCCTCTAACCCCTCACCTCTGTCTCCGCCCCCAGGCCACCTGGCCTCCAGGCTCCTCTAACCCCTCACCTCTGTCTCCGCCCCCAGGCCACCTGGCCTCCAGGCTCCTCTAACCCCTCACCTCTGTCTCCGCCCCCAGGCCACCTGGCCTCCAGGCTCCTCTAACCCCTCACCTCTGTCTCCGCCCCCAGGCCACCTGGCCTCCAGGCTCCTCTAACCCCTCACCTCTGTCTCCGCCCCCAGGCCACCTGGCCTCCAGGCTCCTCTAACCCCTCACCTCTGTCTCCGCCCCCAGGCCACCTGGCCTCCAGGCTCCTCTAACCCCTCACCTCTGTCTCCGCCCCCAGGCCACCTGGCCTCCAGGCTCCTCTAACCCCTCACCTCTGTCTCCGCCCCCAGGCCACCTGGCCTCCAGGCTCCTCTAACCCCTCACCTCTGTCTCCGCCCCCAGGCCACCTGGCCTCCAGGCTCCTCTAACCCCTCACCTCTGTCTCCGCCCCCAGGCCACCTGGCCTCCAGGCTCCTCTAACCCCTCACCTCTGTCTCCGCCCCCAGGCCACCTGGCCTCCAGGCTCCTCTAACCCCTCACCTCTGTCTCCGCCCCCAGGCCACCTGGCCTCCAGGCTCCTCTAACCCCTCACCTCTGTCTCCGCCCCCAGGCCACCTGGCCTCCAGGCTCCTCTAACCCCTCACCTCTATCTCCGCCCCCAGGCCACCTGGCCTCCAGGCTCCTCTAACCCCTCACCTCTGTCTCCGCCCCCAGGCCGCTGATCTCATCGCTAACTCTGTGGGTGGGTTTGGCCTGGTTTTGAACTTGATCTAAATGGCATTGTGCCTGGCTTCTCTCACTCAAGAACATCTGGAGGTCTGGTGAGTGTTTTGTGCGGGTGGCGGCCCCTCGTTCCCCCCGCGTAGGGCATTCTGTTGTGCGCCCTGTCAGAAGGTTCCTCCGGTTACCCGTCTGCATTTGCGTTGTTGCCATTTGGGGCCCTAGGAGGAGCGCGCTCTGAGCATTCGCGCACGTGCGTTCCGGGACCTCTAACCGAGGGATGACTCCACGAACACACATGGGGATCCCGAATAATCCGACGAGGGGGGCAAAGCCCTCGGCCTCCCGGCCCCTGTCTGCGGTTAACGCTGTGCTTCTTCGGTGAAGTGACAGGACCAGCCGTGTAATGAGTTCCTGGCTTTCACCTGGGAAAGTCGGGCCCGGGTGGCCGCCCCGCTGGGCGTGATGCGGGTCTCGGTGGTCAGGTTGCTACTCGGCCCGCAGGATGGAGAGACTCTGTGGGCTGGAAGCCTGGAAAAGGAGCTCAGGGTAGGACTTCAGGTCCCGTGAACTAAATGTTCTATCCCGGGACAGACAGAAGCCCAGCAAGGCCAGCCACGCAGATGGGAAACCTTCCCTAGACCTCTCGAGGTCCCTGTCAGCGTGGCCACCGCCTTGGCTGACTCACTACTGCTCTTCTTCCAGGCAGTTCCCTGACTGCTCTTCTTGCGGCCGATTCCTTCCCCCACTCGCCCATTCTTCCAGCACAGCTGGGTGTCCGGTTACTGGGGGCCGCGTGTGGGGTACGGGAATGAAGTCATCTTCGTCCTCTCTCAGGGAGCCCGCAGCCTGGTGAAACCGATCGCTGCAACGTGACGCGCTACAGCCAGGGAATGTGTCAGGTGTGCTGCGCAGGAAAGAACGGTGGACTGGCCAAGCCCCTCAGGAGGGGAGACTTCCCGGGAGAGGAGGCACTTGAGCGGGGTCTTGAAGGATGAATAAGAGTCCGTCAGGCTGACAAGGTGGGAAGGGCATTTCAGGCAGAGAACAGCATGCACAAAGGCATGGATGAGAGAGTGAGAGGTGTTCCGCGTGGGGTGAGCAAGGGAGGCAGGATTAAAATCCTCAGTAAGTCTGAGAAAAGCAGACTCCTTGAAGGATTTTAAGCTGGGGAGAGATATGGTCAGGCCTGCAGTTTAGGAAAATTACTCACGTAGGCTAGATGGAGGCAGTGTTCCTAGAGGCTGGAATTAATTTACGAAGTATCTCCACCCCCACTCATGGTCCATGTGGGGTGTGTGGGGCACGTCACTCGTCCCCATACACCGCTGACATCCTTGACCGGGGGGAAAAGTTCAGCAGGAGATGCCCACCATTCCCAGTTGGTTCATCTTAATAAAATCAGGAAACACTGGGAAAAATTACTTTCTAAACGTGCCACGTACGTATTTCCTTTCCCACCAGACTCCGGGGTTCATGGAACGAGACTGGGTTTTATGTGTCTCTGTACAGCCCAACATCTGGCACTCGGAAAGTCCCCATAAATGTCCCAAGTGCGAGTCTGCCCGACGGGAAGAGGCTTTCTTACCATGGGGTCATAGTCGCTCAGGAAGCTCCAGTTCTGAGCCCTGGAACAGAGACACGTTGGCTGCGTGAGTGCCCCCGGTGACACTTTCACAGGTGACTTTTGCTGTGTCAGGTCTGTCACTCGGTGTCACGGACGCGCTCATTACCTCATGGAGGGATGGAAATAATTTTTAAGCGAGACAAACGCCATGTTTCAACCAAGTGTGTAGGACGTATCTTAGGAAAGGAACACGTGTCCGTGGGCAGTGGCGTTTCCTGGCGTGGAAACTGGGACTCTAGGGGACAGGATTGTGAGGACAGTTGGCCGCGAGCGACTGCCTGGTCCCCAGGCCACTGGGGAGTCCTCAGTATTTTGTGAGGAAAACTGGTTTTCACGTCCCCAAACCTTTGTAACCTTCCAGGGGCGTGGCGAGGAGAGAGAGCGACCTCGAGGGGACCGTCACCTGCTGAAATTTAATTCTTATTTTAATCTATTCTGTAAAAGTCACACAGTTCCATAAGACACATAATAACAATAGTCCTCTCCGCCCCAGTCCTCACAGCCCCGAGCCCCATGGGCTGGAGTCCGGCCTGTCTTCCAGCTGTTTCTGCCCTTGCTCTGGGCCCCTGTCCTGGGGATGGGGCTCCGCCCAGCCAGGCCGGGCCTGTCCCCAAGCAGCTGGCTGAGCAGCTCTCCTAGGAGCTGTCGGATTCAGCGAATGCTCTAAGGGACACCTTCCCTGCGGGTCTGCCCGCCGGCGTCTCTCCCCGACGGCTGTCTGGGCTCCCGCCCCCCCCCCACTCTGTCCTGCCAGGTCCAGCTGCAGGGTTTTCCCGAGGGACTGATGGGCCCCCAGCGTGACCCCGGGGGGCTGCACTGGCTGAGTTACCTGGCCCCCCTGCTCTCCCTCCCACTCTCTGGGCTGCCCCCCTAACCCCCTTGGCCCCAGCCCTTTGCCATCAGTGCCCGTGACCTGGCTTCCCTCTCCGCCTCTCGGTCTCTCTCTCCAGAAGCTTCCTGGACCCTGAGTCAGGCCAGGTAGGGGAGGAGGGGGGCACTCACCAGAGCCGCTGGCCCCGCTTCTCCGCCTCCAGGAGCTCCCTCCATAGCTGGTCCTGCTGCACTCTGTCGGCTGCCAGGGCCGCCTGCTCCGCCCTCGGGGCCTGGCCACCAGCGAGGCCCCTGCCTGAGACAAGGCCACCCCTGGCAGGTGGAGAGACTAGAACTGGGGGCCTGGTGGCGGGCCGTCGGTAACCAGCTGATGTGGTTTTCTGGGGCCCAGAGATGGGGTGGCTTCCCATGGGCACAGAGTGTATGTGTGTGTTGGGGGGGAATTCCTGCCTGAGCCTGGACCTCTTCTGGACGCCCCCTCCCTCCTAATACCAGCAGAGCCTGCAGGGGTCCCCCTCACTGCCCCCTGGACCCCGAGCTCAGAGTGGCTGGGAGAGCAGTTGAGCCTGGCTGTGTTTCGAGCTCCCCCTTGTGTTGACTGTTGCCCTGGGAACAGGGCAGCTCCCCAGGGTGCCCAGGAAGCGGCACCGCGTGTGTGTGTGTGTGTGTGTGTGTGTGTGTGTGTGTGTGTGTGTGTGTGTGTGGTAGGTCTGAGCCCCAGGGTGGGGTGGGGAGGGTCCCTGGGTCTGTGTCTCTCCCAGCTCAGCTGCCCCTCAGCTGTGCCTGGCCCCCTGGCTGGAGACCTCAGTACATCACTGGAGAGCAGGAGGGGGCAGAAGATATGGGGGGCACGGGGGTGGAGGTGCTGGCTCTGTCTTTCAGCGCTGGCATGAGGAAGGGGCGGAGTGACTATGACCTCCTGGGACATTAGTCTAAGGACAGGAGCTGTGGGGCTGGGACTCTCTTCTCTCCTCTGTTCCGCCTCCCAGGGTTGGGCTGAGACCGGCTGGCTTTCAGTGACTCGGACCTTTTCCCAGTAATGATGACGTGTGGGAACCTGGGCCCAGGTGTCTGTGCCCCAGTACAGCCAGGACAGGCCACCTGACCCGAGGGACACTGCCCCAGCCACGGAGCGGAGATGCCATCGGTAGCAGGGGTCCGTCCAAAATTAAAGGTTAAGGGCTCATTGGAGAAAGCTGCCTGGAAACTGGCTGCTTTCACCCCTGGAATCAAGGTGTCTGCAGGGCCAGGGTCCCTCTGAAACATGCAGGTTTCCTGTCCCTTCCTGGCGCTGGTGGCTGCTGGCAGCCCCGGGGTCCCCTGGTCGGCAGTTGCACCCACCGACCTCTGCCTCCACCATCACAAGGCCTCCCCCGGTTCTTTATCTCCACATGGCCATCTTTTTAGAGGTGCACTGGTAGGGCCCACCCGACCCCAGTATAACCTCACCTGAACTAACTGCATCTACAAGGACCCTATTTCCAAGGAAGGTCACATTCTGGGGCCCGGGGAGTTAGGCCTTCAGAATATGGATTTTGGGTGGACATGATTCAACCCACAGATTATACAGATTCAGGCCCCTTCTGGGATGTATTATGTATAAAACTATCTATGTTCAGCCCTGCTGTGTGCCGGGCATCTTCTGCGCTGGCTTCCTTTGTCGCCCCGTCTCAGCAGGTGAAGGGTGTCGGTTTCATTTCACGGATGAGAAAACAAAAGCTCCAGGAGGCCGAGTGACTTGTCCAAGGACAGAGGCAGCGAGTGGAGGGCCAGCCGTGGAGCCCACTCGGGTCTCACGTCCGGGGCCTGTGCTCTCCGCCAAGGCCAGGGCTGTGCCTCAGCTGCCTGACACATCCCCCCTTCCCTTCATTCCCCTGGAGCTGCCTCGATCATTTCCAGCAATTAGATCCCACATTTTCTATACCAATCTAGCCTCCGGAGGATCATTTAAATCTTCCCTGATAGGCACTACATTAAAAATAGAAGTTGAATTGCATTTCAAGTTCGAGAGTGTGCCACCTGCATTTCTCAGTGGGATCTCACAGCCCTGGGGTGGGGGTGGGGGGTCATATCTGGATTCGAGTGCAAAACCTGGGGGCTCAGGAAACCACGACCCTCTCACCAGTCACACGGGCAGGAAACGCCGGGTCAGGACCAGACCCCCTGCCGTTCCTGGCCTCTTCTTAAGATGCCGTTTGCAGAGGAATAGCATCGCACATAAGCGGTTTTATGTTGGCTGTGGAAAATACACACTCAACAGTTACGTTCTGAAGACTCTGGATTCCTGGGTCGGGGCCACTTTAAGCTTTGGGGAAAACGTTCTGGGCTCATCTTTTTTATCTTTGTTCTGTAGCCGAAAGCATTTTAGGAAAGAGGTGGAATCGGGAGCGACTGCAACGCATGTGTGGGGCAGCAGGGGGCAGCCTGTAGCTTTGCACCCGCCCTCTGGTCTGGAATTGGCAGTTAACTCTCCCCCTGGGGGCACCCAAAGGAGCCAGGCGCCTCGAAGACCTGAGGCACTTTGACTTACTATGGCCACTTCCGATCTAAGACAGAAAATGAGTGTAACGTCTGGAGAAGGTGTCCATGGAGGAAGCCAGCAGGGCCCGGGGAGACTGGTGCTGCCCAAGGCCCTCAGGTAACAGTGGATCTGGGCAGGGGACGTTTTAAATGTTAAACAGCAGATGGGGCTGAGCCCTTGAGAGCAGAGCTGGCTCAGCTGGTTGTGGCCGTGGCAGAGGTCAGGGGCCTCCCAGGTGGTCGCTGGCTGAAGCCAGGCCGGCCACAGAGCTCAAGGAGCTGGGGGCAGTCAGGGAGAACCAGCCCCTGATGGCCAGCGTGGGGCGCTGGGGTGAGTGACAGAGGGCGGAGCCAGGAGGGGTTAACTGGGCAGAGGAGGCGGGTCTCTGGGACTGCCGCGGGCAGGGGGAAGTTCAGGTTTCACATTCTTCAAGGCCCAGGGGCAGGTTCCCCTCCTCTGAGCTGCCCGGAGGCGAGGCCCTCCTTCCTCTGGCTCAGCCGCTCTCAGTTTGCAGTTCTGAGGAGACCCTCACCTGCAGACTTGTAACCTGGCTGTAGTTTCCTGTACTTCTGTCTTTTACGGGGACCCCCAGGCCTGGCCCACTGCCTACGTGCCGCATGGTTCTGAGGCCAGGCAGGCAGGAGAAGCAGGGGAGACCCCAGCAACCAGGAGACCTCGGGTGGGAGCCCACCTTTGCGCTGCCCTGTCCTGCCGGGGCAGGAGGCAGCCTGGCCTTGCCTGCCCGGCCCTTAGGTGAGGCTGGAGTGGGCAGAAAGGCTGGTCACGGTGACCTGACTGGCAGTTCCGACTGAAGTGTTTTGGGGGTGCAGGTGCCTGATGGTCGAGGTGAGGACACCTGCTTACAGCAGTGCACACCTTGAGAGCCCCTAAGGGCACGAGCTCTCTCAGCCTGGTGGGGGCACAGGCCAGGGCTGGGGGTGTACCCTTTGTATTTCCATCAGTGGATGGGTCAGGTCAGCCAGGGAAGGGTAAGGACTGAGCTCGTGGAAGAAAGGAGCCCTACCCCCAACTAAATAGGATTCAGGTGAAATCTCCAGACCAGGAGAGGGGAGGGAGAGAAGGGGAAGGGACTGTAAGCTCTCAGCTCCCTCCTTTCTCAGGTCACATGCCTGACCCTCCCACAAATCCCACAGCTGCCAGCAGCAGCCTCTGGCATGTAGTTTAGCCTGAGCAGGACTGGGGACGGCTGCCTCCAGCTAGTCTTTTTTTGTTTGTTTGCTTGTTTTTATTTTTTTAATTTATCTTTATTGTTGAGAGTATTACAGTGTCCCATTTTCCCCCCCCAATTGACACCCTCCACTTTGCTCCCACCCCCTCCCCAGGCCTTCACCCCATCATTTTCTGTGTCCATGGGTTATGCATATATGCATATAACTTCTTTGGTTAATCTCTTCCCACCCTCCACCCCCCTTCCCTCTTTCCTCTGAAATATGATTGTCTGTTGCGTGTGTCAATGTCTCTGAATCTATTTAGTTCATCAGATTCTTTTGTTCATTAGCTTCTTCTTAAAGAAGACCCTTCAACTTTTCCTGTAGTGCTGGTCTGGTGGTGATGAACTCCTTTAGCTTTT